GGGTGGGTGGGGGCATTAGCCATGACTATGGGGCCCAGTGTTCCAGAGGGAAGGGATGAGGGGAGGGAAGGTCAGATCTGGAATGTTCCATGGAGGTTGCACAGTCTGGAGAATATATTTGGTAGAAAAATAAGGTGCTTTGGGAATTTGTGCAGTCTATGTCCTGCCTGCCCGAGAGAGACCTGCCCTGCTGGCCAAAAGGTAGTGAGTAGGGAGTAAAGGCAGGGCCTGGAATCTTCCAGCCCATGGAGGATTCTGAACGGAAGACGGGCAGCAAACTTCTGTTCCTGCTGGAGGCTGCCTGGGCCTCTCCCTTGGGTGTGGACTGCCAGGTGGTGGGCCACATACAGAGGGGAGCTGGCCATCCACTGTGGGCTTGTGGGACCTGGGCTCTCAGAACAGTGTGCTTAGGGGGAGTAGAGCCAGTGGGAGCAGCAGGGGCCCTGGGGCGGGGCTGCCCGTGGAGCTGGCTGAGGCACAGTGGTCAAGGTTGGCCCCAATGCAGGAGGCGTACGCCATCACGTGGGGGATGTAGTTCTGCTCATGGACGCCGTGAAGCAGGTGTGCCATGGGGCCCTTGGCAAAGATTGCCACATCTTCTCCGCCGTGGGTCTCATGGCGCAGGGGGACGGCAGATTGAGCCTGGTAGTTGTTGTGAGCTGTAGGCCAGAAACATCTTTTGAGAGCCTGCCTGGGCCTCAATGCTGTGAGAGAAGCACCCCCTTTCCTTTACCACCAGACTGGCTTGAAGGCCCTTTTCACAGAAGAGGAAGCCAGGGCTCACTCAGCACTCAGGGTGGTGGTGACAAGGTGGGAGGGTCAGGTCTGGGGAGTGGGGGCATGGGTTGGTGGTGGTGGTGGCAGCAGTATTTCACCAGAGGCAACTGGGTTCGAACCCAGGCCTGCCTGACCCAGAAGACCACACTCTCAGGCCCTCACAGAGTAGCCACCTAGTAAAACACATGTGGTACCCACACAGGCCAGGCACCAAGCTAGGCTCACCAGACTCATTTCACCTTCCAGGGTAAAGTTCCTCAGAAGGCAGAAGCCTTTCATGGGAGAAATTAAAGCTGAGAAAGGTGCAATCATGTGTCCAAGTTGCTAAAGTACAGGAGAGAACCCAAACTGAGGTTGTGACTCAAATCTAGGCTTCTCCAGGACCACATCAGCCCTCGGTGGATGGATACCCTTCCCCTCCCAGCCCTGGCTGGCCTTGGTGATCTCACCATAATCCACCATGGAGACGTTCTCTCGCTCACCATCTACCACCTTGTAGCCGGGCCCATTGCCATATAGGATGGCTGTGAAGGGCTTCTTGTCTGTGTCACTCACCATGGGAGCCAGACCTGTGCAGAAAAAGGGGTCCAAGGTCACGACGGAGAACTGGAAGTCTGGTCAGCAGTCCCCTAACCAAGCTCTCCAGGGTTTGTGGCTTGGTATTCCTTGTGATCCTTCAGGAGCCCAGACTACGTCCATGAAGCCACCTCCCAAATGGAAAATGCCTTTCCTCCCTCTGAGCATCTCTCCTCTCCATGCACCCACCCTCTCTCCCATGCTCTATGCTGCCACAGTCCTACTCATCCATCCATCACCCAGTCGTTCAGCTCACCTGTGTCTCTCATGTGTCACCAGCATCTCATTATTCTTCCTTAGTTTGCACGGGATCCCAGCTGCCTTGCTGGCTTTCCCACCCCAGGGAATGGCCCACTTACCAAAGATAGAGTTGCCACGGGGCGTGTATCCACCAAAAGTGAACACATGGGAATGGTCTGCAGTAACCACAGTCAAGGTGTCTCTCTGGGAAGTCATGGCGCCTGCCCTTCCGATGGCCTGGTCCATCTCCACTGCCTCATGCAACGCCTGCTTGGCCTTGCCCTCGTGGTGTCCATGGTCAATCCTGCCTCCTAGGGACATCAAGACACAGGCCTCCCATGAGGTGACAGGGGAGAGAGCCAGCCAGGCTTCACAGGCCCCAGGACACTGTCATCAGATTAACATCTCCTTGATAGGAAATGACAGCGACCTTCATCAGGGACTCCCTGTGCGGGGGCCCACCTCAGGCATCTCACATTGTCAAGTGGTTTTCAGAGGGCGGGCAAGGAGAATGTGGCTCACAGGCCACTGAGTGAAGAGAGAACTGTTGGGCCAGAGCTTGGATCTTCCCTTCACTCCTCTGCTCCCAGCTCCGCTGTTGAAGGGGTAGACAAAGGAAATCAGGGAAACAGAAAGAAGAGAAGGGACGGAGAGTATGCCTGAGTCCCTACTGGGTGCTAGCCATGACAAAGAGGCATCTCATTTGATTTCACAGCGACCCTGGGCAGGGATGGCGACTCAGCCCTGTGTATAGATAGAGCAACTGAGGAAGCATGGTGGAGGTGGCATTCCCACAGGGGTACTGGATAGGAGCTCGGGTCTGACTCATTCCAAAGCCCTTAGTTTTGTTTCCTCCATAAACACATCCTTGTAACCAGAAAGCATGGGGACTTCTGGATCTCCACGGTGGCACAAGCCCCTAAGTGCCTGGGCAGTGTCATGGTGGCCGTCCAGAAGAGCCAATGGGAGGCTGAATCCCATAATGCTAGCCCCTTGGAGTACATATGCAGGTCTTAGCCACCACTTTTCTTTATCTGCCTGCAGGATGCCACCTAGTGGTCACTCCCAGTTCTGAGGGTCCTGAGCTGGGACTCCAGGCGGAGTTCCCTCCCAACTAACTTCTCCCTCACTGCTGGCCTAGCTAGTTGGCAGGGCAGGCAGCCTGGCCTTCCCTTTGTTGTGGTTCTTGGAGCAGCTGGCCTGGCAGGCTGGCCTGGCCTTGCTCACAAAGAGGCCCACTCCCAGGGGACCCGTGTTCACCACCACTGGTTCCTGGCGCTTCCTCAGATCGGAGGCCTGCGTAGGGCCAGACCACTGCACTGGTAGGATCCCCAGGCTTGGCAAGAAAGTAGCCTAGCTGGGCTGATGGCCGCTGGCTTCTGGAAGGTGGAGGGGCCTGAGCGGGTATGTGTATATTGGGGACGTGTGTGTGCAGACATGCCCTTGTGTCTGCATGGCGTGAGTACATGAGTATCTCAGCAGGGCCATGCAGGGCTGTTGAAATCCTGGAAGATTCTGGAAACTTTGTTACTTCCCGTTGTTGCTTTGGCTACTATGTAATTACAATGATAGCAATGGAAACATTGAGGCCCAACTGTCATTGTCTACTCTCCCAGGGCTTATGTACTTGTTAGTTATGGGTGTGTACAAGGGGCCATATGGGTGTGTGTATAGAGACTGGAGATTGAGGCTACGTGTCTTTTCTCAATCACTTTCCCCTTTATTTATTTTTTAAAAGCTATCTGTCTATCTATCTATCTAGAGACAGGATTTTACTGCGTAGCCCTGGTTGTCCTGGAACTTGCTATGTAGCCCAGGCTGGCCTCAAATTCAGGAACCCACTTGCCTGCCTTCTAAGTGCTAGGATTAAAGGTGTGCCACCACACCCAGCTTTTATTTTTAACTTTAATCTTACACTTACAGACTCACAGATACACACACACACACACACAGAGTTTGTGCACGTGCGTGCAGTGTCAATGAAGACCAGAAGACGGCATCAGGCCCTCAATAACTGGAGCCAGTTAGCAGTGAGCTGCTGGATGCGGGTGGTGGTTACCAACTTGCTGGGAGAGTAGCAAGCACTCTGAGCTGCTGAACCATCTCTCCAGCCTCAAGATTATTTTTATTCCTTTCTCTCTCTCTCTCTCTCTCTCTCTCTCTCTCTCTCTCTCTCTCTCTCTCTCTCTGCGTGTGTGTCCTATCCTTAGAGCTAGAGATACAAGTGGTTGTGAGCCACCTGATGTGGGTGCCGGGAACTGAACCTGGGTCTTCTGCAAGAACAGTACTTGCTCTTAACTACTGAGCCTTCTGTTCAGCAGTACAGGTATCCAGGGTCTTTCCCTACACCTACACCTCCATATTTTGAGACAGGGTCTCTCAGTGAACCTGAAAGTTATGAATTCAGCTAGACTGTCTGGCCATCAAGTCTCAGGGACCCACCCATCTCCACCCCTTCAGTGCCATTTTCCCAGGCTCTCATCACATGCCTTACTTTTCCACAGTCTGGGATCTGAACTCGGGTCCTCCTGCTTGCACGGCAGGCACTTCACTGACTTCTGTGCCCCAACTCTTAGGCTTTGCTTTTATACATCTGAGCACAGTGGAACTGAGTCATGGCTCCAGGACAGGGAACAGTTTTAGGGCCTCATTTTACAAACATGGTTAGTGAAGGTTGGCCCCACGGCTGTGGTGGCATCAGGCCAAGAACCCAAGCACCATCTCCCTGGCCTCTGGCAGCCACAGAGCAGGTGTAACTGTTTGTGCGCGGGTGACACTTAGAGGCTGGATGACCCTCCACAGCCAGGTCTTAGAGAAAGGCAGCTCAAAGGGAGGCGACTGCTGACTGCCTCCTCTGCCAGGAAGCCCTCTCAGATTGGGCTGATGGACAGGCAGTCTCCCCATACCTCTAAACTCCCAGCCTTCACTGGGAGCTTCCACCACAACCCCTCCTAAGAGGGAGTTAGCCCTTGATCTCCAAATTGGCAGTTCTTTGAAAGCTGTGCCATCCTACCGCCTAACCCAAGTCATGTTTCTGGAAGGTTCGTCTCCATCAGGCCCTACCTTCCACCAGCAGGAAGAAGCCTTTGGGATTCTTTGTCAGGATCCTGAGGGCCACCTCCACCATCTCTGAGAGCGAAGGGTCAGTCAGGTTGTTTCTATTCAACTCATACTGCATGTCCCCGGGTTCAAAGAGACCTGTGGACATAGGCAAGAATATGGGCATCAAGAGTCCTGAGCCTGCAGGGAGGACCCCAAGGGACCTGGGGGTCACAGAGGATACAAAACAATACAAAATCCCTACACTCAATTTGGGGCAAATGTGGGAGGGAGGGATCTTACCTCGGAGGCTCTGTAGATCCAGAATGGGACCCAGAGTTTTCATCATTCTCACAGTCCACCTCACCAGGGGCACGGGGTCTACAGTTCACCTCACCAGGGGCACAGGGTCTACACCTCACCTCACCAGGGGCACAGGGTCTACACCTCACCTCACCAGGGTCACAGGGTCTACACCTCACCTCACCAGGGGCAGGAGGGGTGATCAATGGTCCACCTCACAGAGGAGGGGACAGAGGCTCTGAGGGGCCCAACAAGTTGCTGTTTTCAGCAGGTGAAAGTGAAGATCTGTAACTCAAACCCAGGAGGACACAGCACGTGTCTGAGGCAGTGGACTCTGGATGGGGCTCAGTGAGGGCAATATAAATGTGTGCGTATTTAGGTCTGAGGGCACAGCGGCCTATGCGGTGAATCGGCAGAAACTTAGGGGTCATTGTCTCCTCTGCTCACTGGTCCTGGTTTTCTTCCATATGAGAGCCGTCCCTCACCCTGTCACCATGTGACAACGGAACAACAGCTCCAGGGAGCCAGCGCACCCTCTATGCCAGCCATCTGGAGCATCTTGGAAACAGGAGCTGACCTCCAAGATGGTGTGAGCCACCAGCCTCCTGCAGCTCAGGTGCTGTGGCCCTCCTGGTGGCAAGCTGGCCTCAGTGCCAATCAGCCTCTGGAGTGCCCACTCCCCCTACTGGTCCCCACTCTGCAGGGACCAGGAGTCACCCTGAGGACTGGCAGAGGCTGCCTGGCTGGTTCTGCCCTGGCTGTGCCATGTACACTCCCCTCTCTGATCTTGGGTTTTTATGCCAACTGGGGCTCATCTCCCCCAACAGCTTAACTCAAACAAAAAAACCTCCTTCCTTCTGCATTTTGGAAAGGCCCTGCAATGGGGTGGGGGGGGGGGTGCTGCCTCCTGCAGCTCCAGCCATGGGCTCCCCACCTTCTCTACTTACCTAGGAGGTAGTCCACCCTGGAGGGGTCGAGGGCCAGCAGCTCAGTGCGGTTCCAGACATAGTGGGAGTGCTGGGGGGTAGGAAGGGCTGTGTCAGCGCAGGCCAGGAAATCTGGGGACAGCCCCAGCTGGCCTCAAGATTTAACATCCTGCCCTGAGCACCTACCAATCTCTGTACTCAAAAGACGACAGATACATAGGGATTATCATGTACAATCCAGATAGATGAGGGTGTCACAGAGCAAAGATGAGAATGAGTGGTGTTTGGAGGTCCCTGTAGAGCAGGCGGCAGTGGAAGTCCCCTGGCTGTGCCTTGGGAATCCCATCCCTGACCCAGAACACAGGAACACAGGGCGAGACTGCCAGGATTATTCAGGGCCCAGGTGCGTGGTCCCAGCACTGTAAGGAATTTGCTGTGTCTTCAAGACAGCCCCTTTGCCTTCCCTGGGCAGTGGCTTTGAGGAGTCGTTTTGTGTTGTTTTTCCAATACTCTAGGTTGCTCTCCCGGAGCAGGGGAAGGGATGCAAGAATCAGGCTCAGGTCTTCAGTGCCCTGTTGTATCAGGCAACCCTCACAGCAGTCTCTCAAGACTGCCCCCATTTTACAAACGAGGATACTGAGGCACACATGCATCAGGGTTATTGAGAACCACTTCCAGGCCCTTCTATTGATGCCCAGAATCTGGATTCAACAGGGATCCTATTGTGCAGGGCTCATGGCCATAGTATGGACCCATCCCCATGCCCAGAGTCTATACAGAGTCCTGGGACCAGAGGGATGGCTTGCCAGCCCTGATCATGGAAACTGAGGCAAGGAGGAGGGTGTTTCTTTGGTTTGCCTGTCCAAGCCAGCCTACCTTCCCCCAAGCTGGGGAAAGAGAACAGAGTCCTTCACTCCCACGCATGGGGCTGTCCCCAGCCCTGCTCCAACTATTCTCTTAGCTCAGCTTCATCCCACCAGGCCTCCCCAGGGACTGCACTGGAACCCTGAGAAACCCAACCCCAGAGTGACATCAAAGCGGCTGCCAGGCTGCTCCCCACTGTCTTCAGGCCTGACCACAGTCATTTCCAGACCCAGCTGCCCGGCTGGCCCACAGCTGCAGATTTAAAGGGCCAGAGGCTTCGCTCTTGGAGGAACCACGGCCTGACCTGACCTTGTTCCAGCCGTCCTTCCAGCCCACCCATGCCCTGGCCTAAGGGATGTACTCTGAGGGTTTTACACCTCCATCTTTGGCCAGAAACTTCTACTCAGCTGTGCTCTCCTGTCATCTGCCTCCCCACGCCCTGTCACTTGCTCAGGACTTCTGTGGTATCCCCTCTGCATGCCTGCAGATGCCAACTTCCTGCCATCCAGGCACACACCACTCCCTGTGCTTTTGTGCCTCTATAGATGCCCAACCTGCCTGGGGTCCAGCCAGGTGACCCCGACCCTGTCACCATCCCCCTAGTTGTCCTCTCTGCAGGGAGCACGGGTGTCGGTCACAAGTCTGTAAGGGGTAGAACGAACAAAGGAATAAACAGGACCCTTATTGTAAAGAACATTTGAGACATAGGTGGGGGGACCGAGGCCCAAGGTCCCACAGCTAACCCCGCCTGCAACCATCGGGTACCTTGTGTCTGGGTTTGAAGCTCTTCCAAATGCTGATGAGGTCTAGGCCGTCTAGCCTTGTGCCCCTGGCCTTCTCATCCAGTTCATATTCCACATCAGTTCGGTTCTTCGGGTACATGTACTTCCGGCCACCCCCCATGATCACCTGAGGAACACGATCCATCACACCCAGGGTTCTAAATTGTTCAGAAGCCCCAGGGGTCCCAGCCTGAAAAGCCATCAGCAGATGGCTGCTTGCCCAGCAGGTCAGTCCTGGGCCAGTGTTCTCTCAGCCGCTGCTTGTTCAGATTAGAGAGATGAAATCACTGATCTAGCTGGACTGTGGTTTGGGGCTGGGTGGAATAGTAGTTTTCCTGAATGCTTACCCCCACCAGGCTAATACCCCTTGTGGAGTAAAGCCCATTTACTGTGTGCCAGGCCCTGAGCCACTCACTCAGGTAGAGTAACTCACTCAGCCTCCTACCCAGGCTGCAAGGGAAGTGGTCAGCATTTTCTCGATATAGACACAAGCATAGAGGTGTGATTTCTTGCCCCTCAGCCACACAGCGGTGCACGACACACAGAAGATTCAAACCCACAACCCAGTGTTTCTCTACTAGAAGACCCCCCCCCCCAACAGCACGGAGCCAAGGAAGGGGCCTCCAGGAGTCTCTTCTCTCACAGTGAGTGGCTTCGGCCAGGGAGGTCTTGGGGCAGCCCAGCTGGGAACCAGCCCACAGCCTGGGCAAACATGGGCCGGCCTCACGTCTGTGTAGTCACCGCCAGGCTAATTTTATCCACTGTGGCTGGCATGCGCGGGCAGACGGACGCGGGGTTGTTTGTTTTCCTAGGGAATCCATGTTTGAAGTCCTAACTATTTTTAAAGCAGAGGCCAAGAACATAATAGCCACAGCCCATGGTGACCACCATACCATGTCCTCCTGTCACCGTGGGCGTCAGCCCAAGTTGCTGCCCCGGCTGACACCTGAGATCCATTGTCCCCACTTGGGGCAAGGTTCTCTCTCTACCTTCAGTTCTATTCCCCAAGGTTCTATGGGGTAAGGAGAGAGGTGGGTGTCTGAGCTGGCAGTGGGTGTAGGGAAGGTACCCCCGGGAGAGCCATGGGCACCCAGGAAGGTCAAGGACACTGAAGTAAAGACCCGACCCTACTGCTAGTTACTGTTTTTTGTTTTTGACCTTGCGGGGCCTCAGTTTCCTAGTCTATAAAATGGGAATGGCTTCCCAGAGAAGAAAGGCAATCATCCATTGTCTGTGGCGATTCTCACAGTGGAAGATATGCCCATAGAAGAGAACAATGGAGATGGACAGATGCCTTTCCAAGGAGGCCAGGTCTAAGCCTCACCGTGCCACAAGGAGCTTGGATGGCGTAGCCTGGGAAGGGGAGAAAAGGACTCCAGGTCACTGGAGCCTTCTGTTCCCACAGAACCTGACCCCTTGGCATTTTCAGAGTGGAACTGAAGCCCCCAATCTTCCTGCTGGGAACGTGTGGGCCCCAGCCCAGAGGAGACTTCACACGGGTTCATTAAACTCACAAATAACAGGCTCGCTGTTTGCCTTTGGGGTTTGGGTCTGTCTTTCTCTCTCTCTTTAAAGTTCAAGATATTTATTTTCAGAGTAGACACCAGGGTTTTCCTTTCATGGATGGTCTAGAGGGCTTTTGGGGTGGTGGTGACAGAGGGGTAAATAGGATTAGAAGAGAAGAGTGAGGGCAGGAGACCTTCTCACTCCTTGGCTCATGCCCTCATGGCTCTAGGAGACCCCAGCTCCCTTCACTGTCTCCAAAGCATCTTTTCCCAAAGTGCCTCTCCCTGCCTCAGCGATTCCTGCCCGAGCTGGCTAACGGGTTACTGTAATTACCCCTAGGATCAGTGTTCCCATACATGATCCCATCCTGGCCTCCCTCAGCTCAGGCCAGCCTGGGAGCCAGCAGGTGGGAAGTGGAGGGAGGGGAAGGGCTGCCCAGCAGGTGGAGATGAAGCCAGAAGGGCAGCTGTGTCCCAGCTGGCTCTTTCCTAAGAGGAGTCAACAGGACCACTGGTCCTGAAGGCAGCGCTACTTGGAAAAGAGAGCTAGGGGCTTGAGAGATCAAAGAGATAGGAAAAGACGGCGTGTGGATCTCAGAACTTTCTCTGAGCGTCACTGGGCCTATATTTCAGCCTCAACGGGTCTAAGTCATGGTCAACCCTCACAGTAGAAAAAGAACAACCCAGAAATTCTCCCCAAGAGCTGAGGCCTGCATGTAAGGACGCGTTTGGGTGTTGAAATGTGTGCGTTAAGGACAGGTGGCTTACACGTGAGGGCTGCCACTTGAGCACTCACGGGACAGGCTCTGCGCCCAACTCAACTGGTATTTTCTTACTTGGTTTTTGCAGTGAGCTGTTGGAGCAGGTCCAGTTGGCATCGAAGGGTTGGGCAAGGGCAAGCTCAGAGAGGTTAAGTAACGGCACAAAATCACACAAGCTAGCAAAAATCAGAGCAAGAGTAGCAAAGGCATGGCATGCTCTGGATGTTTCCTAGGCATGGCAGCTCTGTGTGCCGGCGTGGGCCCCTCTGTCAAACTGTGAAGATGTAGGGCAGGCCAGCCCCTAAGACCACACTGTGTGTCAGTGCATACTGTGGGGGAGTGTCATTGCTTACTGTGTGTATGGGGGGGCATCAGTGCATAGTCTGGGAATGTGTGTATATCAGTGTATACTGCGTGTGGGGGGGAGATGCCAGGGCACACCGGGGAGGTATCAGTGCATACTGGGGATAGGGTGCAGCGTCAGGTTCTAATTCATGGATTAATTTCTGGGCACGCAGTTCTCAGGGTGTGGCAACCACATGAGGGTTCGCCTCACAGCCCCACTTACAGTGGCTGCCTGTCCCAACCACAAATTCCCTAATGGTTTGCGAGCTCTCCCAGGTGTGTGGGGGAACCCAGGCCTTTCTCAGGCCATCCTGGGCCTAAGACCCGCCCCCTCCCCAGCACCTTGCTGTCTCCCACCCTGTCATATCCATGCCTGGTGTTCACACTCACATCAATGTCCCTAATGTTGTGTATTAGCTGATATGCGATGTCCTTGCAGCCCTGGCTCAGAGCCTCCGGTGGCATCTCATTATCCGAGTACCAGTCCCGATCAGCCGAGTGTGCATAGGCTGCACTGGGGGTGGCGTGGTTTACCCGTGTGGTGGTCACGATGCCCACAGACTTCCCTGAGGTGTGGGACAGGAGAGGTTAGTACACTTGTAGACTTCTACCTAATCCTTTCCCACCATCAACTGCCTCCCATCAGTTCCTCTGGTTCCCTGGGCCTCAGTTTCCCTAGTTTGCATGAAGGCAGATGCAGCTGAACACCCTTCCCTGTACCTGAGGTGTGCTGAGGTCCTCTCCTCTATCCATGCCTATAGGAAGCCCTAGGCAGCCCCAAAGGGACCTCAGATGGAGAGAGAAGGGCTCTGTCACCCTGCCTTCAAAGTCCCTGGGGCAGTCATTCTGAACTGCTGCAGGCTGGCCCTGGCTTGGTGCTGTGCTTTGACCTTTACTCCACTGGCATACCCACTCTATAGTGGAGTGCCCAGACCCAGGCACTCCATGTAGACTCCTCAACTGGGGGGGGGGGCTCCCCTGACTCTTCTGTACAGGGGAACAAGAGGCCCTGGAGAGCTTGATTCCACACCCCCTCCCAGGCGTGGATGAGGAGGCTAAGGCCCAGGCAGTCACAGAGCCTCCGCCTATGATGGCTCACCGGCATCCTTGGCCCAGCGCAGGATGGAGGTGACCTCATTCCCCTGAGTGGTGTTGCACCGCGTGCGCTCAGTGGCCGCGCTCACTCCCACAGTGCCCTCATTGGCCTTCACACCACACAGGTAGGCAGTGGCGGTGCCCGCGCTGTCGGGGACCTGAGCGTTGGTGTTGTATGTCTGCAGGTGGGAGGGAAAGTCAGGGGATGGGGACCCATCGTGGCCACCCCACCGACATTTCCAACAGGGGAATGGGGTGAAGGATGCTGTTGCTCATTGAGGTGCCCAGAACCAGAAGGTCACCTGACTGAGCTGCCTGCTGCCCATGCTTTGGCAGAACTTAAGGTTTCCCTGAGTGGGAGGGGGGAGCTGTGGAACCAGCAAGGGGTGGGGAGCTGATGGTGCTGGCAGAGGGAGAGGAAGAATGTCCCTGCGGGGAGGGGATACGGGGAGGGAACAGGGGTCTGAGAGATCAACCTGGCTTCTCTGCTAGCCCTGCAAATGGTCACTTCTGTGTCCAGACTTCCCAGGGAGACCCTATGGGCCTACTTTCCTGACCCCCATGAGCCTGAGAGCTCCCCCGTGGTCCAGAAATTACAGTTCCTACTCTTCCCCTAGAAATTAGGGCCGGACTCTGGGTGGCTAGGAGGGGCTTGTTATACACCCCCCAATCACCCCCCCATAACCACAGCTGCCCACAGCATGCAGGGTATCGCACGGTTCACACTGGTAGTCTAACCTGGGAGTGTGAACTGGGCTGACTCTGCTTACAGAAAATGCAAGAGCAGGCACAACCAATCAATTGTGTAGGGGGTCAGGACAGTGGCTAATGTCAGTGGAGAAAGGGACAAGGACAAGACACAGCTTAGGGGATAGCAGGCCCTAGATCAGTTGCAACAGCCAGGGGTGGGTTGCACAGACACCAGTAGCTTGGGACAAAGTCAAGCTGGACCGCACATACTTTTTCCTGGGAATGTTACACACCAACAACAGGTTCTAGATCAATGAGCTAAAAGTCTCAAAAACCTTGGGAATGGCTGCTTTTGTCCTGGTGTCATGGTGGGACCATGTGACCCATGTGGCCTAGGAGGTCTGATGGCTTCACAGTCCACCAAGTGGAGAGTGGAATTGGGGCAGCTCACCTTGGAGAGGGCCACAAAGGGGAACTTGTCCATCTCCAGCCGAGTTTCCTCCCCTGAGTTGTGGTGTAGCTGGCCCTTAAGGATTCGGGCAGCCGTCACCGTGGAGACGCCCATCCCTGTGTGGGGACAGAGAGCTCAGACTCTCAGGCTTTCCAATCAATTTTCCCAGGCACCCAGAGCTCTCTAGTTCAATGCCAAGACAGTCAAGGGCAGTGGACAGCGGTCAAGAGGGCATGGCTCTGTAAATGTCATGGGATGGTCTGTTCTTTCACTATACTCTTAGGGGCCATGGCTTGGTCCCTTTCTCCTAAATCTATACCTCAGAGCCAGCCTTCACATGGCCCTTACACTTCCTACCTGGAATCATCTTTCCAGCAACCCAATGCCTCAGGCTCCAATGTCCTAGCCTCAGTGTCCCCAACTTGACTGCTCCCAGCCCCACCATTCCCTGGGTCACTGCCCCAAGCCCCATCATTTCCAGAGTCACTGCTCCCAGCCCCATCATTCTCAGGGTCACTGCCCTGAGCCCCACCATTCCCAGAGTCACTGCCCCGAGCCTCACCATCTCCCAGGAACATGATGACATTCTTGGCCACATTGGTGTTGAGCTTCTGGAGTTTCAGGGCATATTTCAAGGTCTCCTGGGCTTGCTGTCGCCAATAATTGGGGTCTTTCTCTTTCTCTGCAGAGAGAGGCGGTTATTTGGCAAAGTGGGGAATTTGCTATCTATCCTCAGAATTGCAGACAGCCCAGTAGCTCACTGCTGGGGGATGAGCTAATCTAAACATGGAGAAGGGAGTGAAGGTTTGTGAACAGGTTCCAGGCAAACCATGTAAACAAGCCTGGGGACACTGGCATCTTCCAACATCTCAAAAGGAAGAAATCAAAGACCAAAGACACCAAGTGACCCTCTCAAAGACACAAAGCATGAAGAACTTTGGCAGAAATCCCTGCAAAACCCACACTTGCCCTTCACCCAGCAGTGAGTGGGAGCCACAGCTGGCAGCTAGCAGGGTAAACTTTAACCTCATCACAGGAACAAACTGCTACAGAAGTCCCTAGAGGTGGCCAGCCATCAATGATAAACTCTGGCTTATTCATTACAGCGGGCTCAGGCAGGAAGGGACCTTCTTGGTGAGAACCCTAAGAGCCAGCGCCTCACCCTTGGTGGGAGGCATCGCATGTACACAAGGCTCTCCTGTTGGGGTAGCTGGGAAAGGATTGGCGAGGCTCAACCCCCACCCCTCCCTCTCTAACACTCACTACTTCCCTGGGCCAGCATCTTAGGAGTTAATAAGAACTAGAGTTGGTGGCACATGCCTTTAATCCCAGCACTCAGGAGGCAGAGGCAGGCGGATCTCTGTGAGTTCGAGGCCAGCCTGGTCTCCAGAGCGAGTGCCAGGATAGGCTCCAAAGCTACACAGAGAAACCCTGTCTCGAAAAACCAAAAAAAAAAAAAAAAAAAAAAAAAAAAAAAAAAAAGAACTAGAGTTTCTCCTCTTCCTCCTCCTCCATCTTTATCTTCTGTAGTAACCAAGCATAACCAAGTTACTCTGGGCAAATCACTTTCGCTGACTCTCAGTTTCCACACCTGTCAAAAGGGTTATCTGTACCTTTAATTTAGGGTCTTTTGTTTTTTTATTTTTTTGTGGAGACAGGGTTTCTTTGTGTAGCCCTGGCTGTCCTGGAACTCACTCTGTAGACCAGGCTGTCCTCTAACTCATGGAGATCCTCCTGCCTCTACCTCCCAAGTGCTGGGATTAAAGGTGTGCGCCACCAACGCCCGGCTGACTGAGGGTCTTTTTGAGGACTGCACTAAATGTGAAGATGCCCTTTCACCTTTTTCCAACCCTGTATTCCAAGGAGACCCCTAGAGTCTCATCTCTGGAGGTGGTGAAGGGTCTCCACTGTTTACAAGGCTTCCTCTCTGGGTTTCCCTGGACCCACTGGACCCACCCACAGAACTGGAAGTTCAAGGTTGAAGGTCCTGTATGAATGACTCCTTCAGAGTCCGCCCACTTTGGTGAGGCAGAGGCCTGGAGAGGTGAAGGGTCCAGTTCAGGACCACAGTGTATGTCTATGAGCTGGAGATATGGCTACATGTTCCAGCCTGTCTAGGCTCACATGCTCCCGGGGAGCTACTCTGTCCTTGCACCTGCATGGATCTCAGCCTTGAGTTGCTCCAAGAGTTGAAACACACATATCTCTGTCTTCTCAGTCACCTCTTGGGGGGCGGGCATCACTTCCTCCCAGCAGGAAGTGACCACAAATGAGCTGCTGAGGAAGACCTGAGGACATTCAAATAACCAAACAATGGCCAGGCAGTGGTCACACATGCCTTTAGTCTCAGCACTCGGGAGGCAGAGGCAGGCGGATCTCTGAGTTCAAGAACAGCCTGGTCTACAAGAGCTAGTTCCAGGACAGCCTCCAAAGCCACAGAGAAACCCTGTCTCAACCAACAACAACAACAACAAACAACAACAACAACAACAACAAAAACAAAACAAAAAAACCCAAAACAAATCACCAAAAAATGGCCACTATGGACAAGCTAGGGAGGGCAGACTGCTCTCTCCCTCAAGCCTTGGGGCTCCCAGCCTCCAGCCCTCTTTTCTGATCTCCTCTCTTGGGTTGAGCACCCCAAACACTGTCTGTTATCTTCATTCCTAAGATCCAGGCCCTCCTCTTTTAGAAGTATCTGCTGGGACCCCCAGTTTCAGACATCCCAGTAGAGGCCCCCAGTGGAACCTGGAGGCCTGGGCCTTGCTGTGGAGCTCTGGCCATCAGGTAAGTTCTTTGCTCTAGTTTCTGTCCAGGGTGAATGGAATGAGGAGCTGGTGACAGAGGTCAAAAGATTATCACTGACAGGCCCACTTGTTATCTTGAGACAGGGTCTCTCATTGGGCCCTGTAGCCGATTTGGCTGTGCTGGACAACAAACCCCAGAAGCCCTCCAATCCCCACTTCCCCCACCCTGGAATTACAATCATGCACCCCCACACCTAGCTTTTCACATGGCAGCTGGAGATCAAATCTGGAAGCTTACCAACTGAGCCCTCCTCTCCCCAGCCCCCAGGCCAATGGCTTAGACCACTGGTTCCGCCAACCTGGAGGAGGATTCCAGTCTCTCCCTAGCACACACCAGAACGCCCTTGGTCACAGAGCCTCTGCAGTCACTTGGCTGTCGCTTAGGGGTTGAAGAACTTCAGCCCATTCTGACCACATGCCCATTACCCCCAGCAGTCAGGCAGACACCGGTCTGACGCCAGTCTGTCCCATGTCCATGATCTTTCTCAATACTAGCCTGCCACCATTCTAGCCGGCCTCTGCTAGATGGGGAATCCAAAGAGGACTCCGGGGCCTGTCTCTAGGAAGGGCTGAGTCAATATCAAACCAACCTCCTTGCCAGAGATCTGGCAGTATTAAGCAATAGTAGTTTGGATGACTGAATACCAGGAGACCATTGTTTCAAGGGACAAACAACAGGGACAGATGCCCAGGATGTGACATTATGTCCTAGGATCCTTATTAGTACCCACTGCATGAACCCATTTATATGGGGCTCAAAACATACAGAGTGACGCTTGACACCAGGAAGGGGCTGTCGGGAGGGGCACTGAGAAGCCAGCCTCTGTCCTGTGCCTAAGAATGTCCCCCTAATCTGGACGGTGGCTCCACACACACACACACACACACACACTTAAACCCATCATTCTGGACATTTAAGATTTATGCTCTTACTGTTAGTCAAATTAATTGTAAAAAACAGACAGTGTAACAATGTAACATTCTCCTTAGAGAATGGCTGTAACAGGGCTGGTGAGATGGCACAGTGGGCAAAAACACTTGCTATCAAGACAGAAGATCTGAGTTTTATGTCTGGGACCCACACAGTAGAAGCAGAGAACTGACTCATACAGGTTGTCCTCTGATCTCCCCATATGAACACATAGGTGCACGTGTGTGTGCATGCACGCCCACAGAAATAAACTGTAATTAAAATTTATTTTAAACGGCTAGAAAGAGAAATGAAAATTAAATAGTTGAATATTAGCAGATCTCTTTCATCTGTTGCTTTAAAAAATGCATGTGGGTACTTTTTCTACAAGTATGTATGTATGTATGTATATATGTATGTATGTCTGGGTACCACATAGGTGCCTGGTGTCCAGAGTCCAGAAGGGGTTGTTGGATCCCCTGGGACTGGAGTTACAGATGGTTATAAGCTGTTTTGTAGTTGCCATGTAGATGCTGGGAGTTGAACCTGGGGCCTCTGAAAGAGCAGCTGGCGCTCTTAACCACTGAGCCATCTCCCCAGACCATCTGGGTTTTTGTTTGGTTTTGTTTCTCTCTCCCTTTCTCTCTCTGGCTCGTCGCTCACATCCAGGTAGCTTATGAGTGCTAGAAGCGTGCAACCAGATGAACTCAGATTCCCAAGGATGCCCATGGATGAGCCTCACTGGACTCCAGAGAACATGCTGGTCTGGGAACCCCACCATTGTTGGAGGAAACACTCTCCATCTCCTCTGCTGAAGGAAGTAAGAGACTTCCTAAGCAAAGAAATCAGCATTCTCAGAGAACTCACTTCCTGTCAGGTACTGAGTCAGTCCTGCAACTCCTCATGGCTCCAAAGAGGAGTAGCACTATCTCCACCAGACAGATGGGGAAACTGAGGCTCACGGAGAGCAAGGCGGGGCTTTCAGCTACACTATGGATGGAGCTGAGGAAGGCTCTCCTTGCTGACTCTAGCAACAGAAATGCCAGGAAAGATGAGCTGAGAGGTAGCTCAGGGCCAATTCTTGCTGTGCAAGCGAGAGGACCTGAGTTCAGATCCCTAACATGCATCTGTAACCCCAGTATTGGGGAACCAAGACAGGGGGATCCTGGGGCTTGCTGGCTAGCCAGTTTAGTTAAAAAGGTGAGCTCCAGGTTCAGTCAGATACCTTATCTCAGAAATAAGGGGAAGCGCTGGAGGGATGGCTCAGCGGTTAGCAGCACTGGCTGCTCTTCCAGAGGACCTCAGTTTGATTTCCAGTGCCCGAACGGTGGCTCACAATTGTTTGTAATGACAGTCCCAGAAGATCCAATGACTCTCTGGCCTCCGTGGTCACTGCATGCACATGGCACACTGATACACATGCAGAAGAAAAAAGAAATGCCAAGAAAGATACACAACTAAACCAGTCCCTAAGCTCAAGAAGGAAAAGAAGAGTGGTGGGCATCCCTGGATGGACTTTAAAGGAAAATCAAAGGCAGAGGGGTAAACAGGGGTAACTGGAGAAGAACTATGGGGGTGCCAGGACAGAGACAGGTCTAGCTGAAGCTGATGTGGCAACATGTGGCTTTGGAGCAAGAGAAGCATAGGAAGCATTTCTATGATGTGGTGTTTAACCCTTCCCACGCCTCAGATTATCCACTAATTCTAGATACATTCTTGTATTAATGTTTTATGCTCTACACTCAAATCTCTGGCTCACACGCAGACTATCTCTCTCCCATTCTACAGAGAAGTTCTAGGGTAGCTAGGGCTGTTACATGGAGAAACCCTGTCTCAAAAAAAAAAAAAAAAAAGAAAGAAAAATACTTCCATGGGTAAAAGAAATCTCCATAGAAACATGGATCAGCAGTTAAGAAGGCATAAGATGTACTGCTCTTTCAGAAGACCAGAGCTGGATTCTCAGCATCCATGTAACACTCTCTCTCTCTCTCTCTCTCTCTCTCTCTCTCTCTCTCTCTCTGAAGGTGAATTCAGAAACAAGCCGAAAGGTCTTGCTTTGAGCGCTTGGCCCCTAGCTCTTATAAAGACTTTGGATGAGTCCATGACTTTGAGCCCAGACACTCTCGTGTAACCCTGCCTACTGCCTCCTTCCACCTGAGTCCGAAGTCTTACCTGGCACAAAAGAGTTGGTAAGGCAGGTGCCGATGGCCAGTACTAAGAATGGTGAGATCATGGTGTACCCTGAGACCCGTTCCTCTTTGGAGCCCAGATGGGTGGGTGGGAAGAGGTGGGCTGGCAGTGTCAGCCGTTAATTGATGTTCCAATCCTAGAAGTTAGAAAAGAAGAAAAAAGGTATGTGGGTGCAACCTTGGGGAAGTTTCTTCATTCTCCCCTTTGTTCCTTGCTTCATTCAGCAAGAAGTTGTCGAATACCGAAAGCCCAGCTTTGGGCTAACACTCTGGGAACAGAATCACAGGAACAGTTGTGCAAGCATAAATGCGTCTGTATTGCAAATAAATACCACGCCGCCTCCTTGCTGCCCAACCTGCCCCAAGGGCAGGCTTTTCATGTCACACTTTTTTTCTTGCTTGTTGTTTTTCCAGATGGGGTTTCTCCGTGTAGCCCTGGCCATCCTGGAACTTACTTTGTAGACCAGGCTGGCCGTGGAATCACAGAGATTCTTCTGCCTCTGCTTCCCAAGTGCTGGGACTAAAGGCATGCACCACCACCACCACCCAGCTCATGTCATACTTTTGATAGAGGCCAGTGCTGGGGTCACCAGTCAAGATAGCCCTAGACCCAGCCCAGAGTCATTCTGGAAGCTTCCGGGCGATGCTCTGGCTGCTGCTGGCTCATGAATCACACTTCACAAAGTAAAGTTACAACTGAACCCACAGTCTTCTGACTCCGTGTGCCTCCCACAGCAGGGATAAAACAGCCCAAGTTTCCTCACAAGGGTATTTGTACCCAGGAGGCCAATATTTACCCCAGTCTCTTCAAGGACTTAGCAGTTTTGTGTGAGTAGCAACGTAGCTCAGACTGGCTGAGTATGACCTTAAACTCCTGATCCCCCTACCTACCTGTGCCCACCAAGTACTGGGATTACAGGAGTGTGCCTCAGAAGCTGAGGCACAGATCTATTTATTTTTTAATGACCTCTGCATTTCCCCAATTTTTTTTCTTTTTTTCTTTTTTTTGTCAATGCTGGAGATCAAAGCCAAGGCCTCATGCAAGGGGGCCGATTGCTTGCCGCTGAGTTAGCGCTCAGGTTCTTTGGTCTGAATTTGCATTTCCCTAATGACTGTTATGCTAAGCAGCTTCCCACAGGTTCCGTGGCCAGGGTGGGCACATCTTCTGCACTGGTGCAGCTGGGGAACTGGCTCACCAAGTGAAGCCACATGCAAACAAGCCTGGGGACATGAGTCTGATGCCCGGCACCTACAGTGGGAGAAGACAACCAACTGTGAAAGTTGCCCCCAGGACTGCCGGGGTGGCTCAGAGGGTAAAGGCACCTGCCTCAAGCCTGATGTCGCCGTTCAGTCACTGAACAGAACCCACGGGCCGGAAGGAGGGAACTGACTCATTCCACATTGTCCTCTGACCTCCCCACATGCAGCATGGCACTCCTGAACTCACACAACAATACATTTGAAGAACACTCTGCTCCCCACCCCCTGTCCTGGGGATCAAACTCAGGGCTTCCGGCTTCCTATAGCTGAGAAATGCTTTTAGCCCACTTTCAAATTTTGTTTTAAGTTTTTTTCTTTTTCTTCTTTTAGCTTTTTTTCAATAGGGCTTATCTGTGTTAACAGCCCTGGCTATCCTAGAATTCATGTTGAAGACCAGGCTGGCCTCGAACTCAGAGATTCGCCTGCCTTTGCCTCCTGAGTGCTGGGATTAAAGGCATGAGCCACCAACCCTACTAAAATAAATTTTTTTGAAGTACTGGGAGAAACACAGAAAACATTAACTGGTGGTTTGCTCCACGTGGTAAGAGTAGGAATGTTTAATTATTCCCTTTTAATTTTTCTCCAAGCTGCCTAAACTGAGTGTGCATGAATGGCTTAAGAATATTTTTAACTGTGGTCATGTTCTGATCACAGGCAGCTAGCTACACAATGTTCAACTGTGGCTAAGGATGCTATGGGAAGAAGTGTGATTTTAAATATCAAGAGTTTCATCGGGAAGTAATGTTACCATGTCAGCCCCAGTCCAGATATGTGGTTACCCCATTGTGGTGGGAAGCAGAAATGACAGAAACTCTAGGGTGAGGAAGGTGTTGGGACAGATAAGTCACCGATCTACCAGAATGTGGAACTTTCAAGGTTAGGCTGTGGTGGAAGGAGGAAACACCCTCCATCTGGTGTCCAACTGCACTTAACTCTCAGCTTAATTCCAGGTGAATGCTAAACTTAAAAACAAATTTTGGCCAGTGAGAAGGCTCAGGAGGTAAAGGGGCTTGCTGGCAAGACAGATGACATGGGTTTGATTCCTGGGGCCCACATGGTGGATGGGGAGAACCAACTCCTAAAAGCTGTTCTCTGATCGCTACACACATAAAATTGCACACCAGCCACCAACCCATCTAACCCCCCCACAAACACACACAGTAAAAACACTGTGTGCATAGTGTATGTGTGTGTTTGTTCATCCCAGTGTATGGATTGTATTTAACGTCTGTGGAGGCGAGAGGTGGACATTGAGTGTCCACCTCTACTGCTTGCCATCCTGGACTCTGGAAGGATCTCTTACTGGATGTGGTGCAAGCCTCGGGGGTCCTCCTGTCTCCCTCTCATCCCAGTGCTAGGGTTACAGACATGCATCACCTGGATTTCCCTATTTTTGCCTTGGGTGCTGGGTATCCAAACTCTGATCCCCACGCTTTTCATAGCATGAACTTTACACATTGAGCCACTATCCCAAACCTAAATTCTAATTTTTTTTGTGTTTTAAGACAGGGTTTCTCAGGTACCCTTGCCTTGGAACTCACTCAGGAGATCAGGCTGGCCTCAAACTCACAGAGATCTGCCTGCCTCTGCCTCCCTAGTGCTGGGATTAACAGCATGGGCCACCACTGCCCAGCATCTGATTTTTTTTTATTCTACTTTAGATGCCAAATAATTTCATAGCAAATACTAAAATCAGAAAAAGCCATTAAGTTGATATAAAACATTAATGCATTATAATATTATTCACAGTTGCTTAAACCCAAGTCGCCTCTTTCAGGACGAATTCCAACACATCTCCCCCAACTTTACATAGCCTCAATTGCTAGCATGCACTTTTCTGTTTTCAAAGTAATTCTTTCCTGGCCCATCCCAGCCACTGCACTGGCAACCTTTACCGCAGTGGTTCTCACCCTTCCTAATGCTGCCACCCTTTAATACAGTTCCTCATGTTATGGTGACCCCCTAACCGTAAAATTCATAAGCTTGCTACTGTTATGAACATAATGCAAATATCTGAAATGCAACCCCAAAGGGGTCGAGATGCATGGGTTTAGAACTGCTGCCCTGAGGTTATCTGTGCTCCTAGCACTGGGAGTCATGGAGCTCAGAGGTAGCCATTCACTACCGGAAGAGGGTCAATGAGTACAACTTTGGGCTCATGGCACCACCCACCACAGCTGAGCACCATACAGCTGCCAAAGGACTCCCCTTTATTTCATGCCAGCTCTTGTTACATGTGTCCACCCCACCACATACAGGTGTTGAGACTCATGAATGACAATGCCGTACATACATGCCCCTAACGCTGTGAGGCCGAGCCAGGAAAGCCAGAACCGTGGGCACACACCAGCATCAACAGCAGAGACACACGCAGGCTGCAGCACCCCTTAGGCAGACCCCCCCCTCCCTCATCCCTTCATTTTTGGTTACTTAGTCCACTAGGGAGAGTAGAATAAGACAGTACAAGGGTGTAGGTGTGGCACCTAAGGGGGACCCCTGGGAACTTCTGAGGGTCAGGAGCTGTCTGTTTACTGAGGAGGGTCTATCCATGGGCTCAGTTTGAAAATGGAGCTGTCTCTTACTTTATGGTATGGGAACTTCTCTGCAAGTGTGTAACAGTCTCTAAGTCCAGAGCCATCCTTTGGGAACTCCCACAAATAACTTCTGTAGTGAGAAAAGAGGAAAGTTTACTGTCTCCCATGACAGATGACAAGACCGAGGCATGATTAGCCTGCACTTACCAACTACCTGGGGGCAGAGCTGAACCTTGACCATGGGGCTTCTGATTCCAGAAATAGCAGCAAGATTACTATGGCAACCCCAACCCCTCCATTTCCTCACATGTAAAGCAAAGGCTCCAAGGTCTGACACAAGAATAGATTTCTCCCAGCTGCCTTGATTAGGGTGGAGACCTGCCTGTCACCCAAGCCTGTGCTCTCTGTGAACAAGCAATCCCCATCGATAAACCCGGAAGTCCACAATTTGTCTTCTATCATCGCTTGACCAGCACTGTATGAAACCAATTGATTCTGCTGGTGAGGCGGCTCAGCAGATAAAGGCGCTTGCTGCCAAGTCTGATGACCTGAGTTCGATCCCTGGGACCCACATGTTGGAGTCCCCTGGCTTCACACACGCACTAGGGCACATGAGCATACACGTTGTCTCACAAACACAATCAAGATAATTAAGTTCAAATTAACATAGGGACTGGAGGTACTGCTCTCCGGTTAAGAGCCCTGGCTGGCTGCTCTTGGAAAGGACCTGAGTTCGATTCCCAGCACCCACAGGGTGGCTCAGAACCATCTGTAACTCCAGTTCCAGGGGCTCCAATGCTCTTTTCTGAACCCTGAGGGTACCAGATACATACATGATGCACAGACATAAACGCAGACAAAGCACTTGTACACATGAAATAAAAATTTATATAAAGAAAGCCATTGATCAGTAGATTCTTCCATCACGAGCCTCTCTCCATTCCTCTGGTACTTTGATAAGCATACAGAATTTAGACAGGTTTTGCCACATTTATACCTATGCATTTCTCTCATGGGGGAAGTTACCGTATATACCTTTGTTTCTTTAATGCTACTATAAAGAAACACCTTGTTGTTTTACATTTTGACCTTATATCCAGAACTCACTTAAATTCTAAGAATCTTGTGTCTGGAGATTCCTTGGCATTTTCTATGTAGACAAGCATGCAATCTACCAAGGGCTTAAGGGCCAGCAAGATGGCTCTATGGGTAAAGGCATCCCAGGGACCCATAGGATGGAAGGAGAGAACTAATTCCTGAAAGAT